AGCCGCCTCTGAGCCTCCTTATACTTTTCGCAGAACTTTGCATACTTAGTCCGTAATCTCTGGCAGATATCCTTTCGTTTCTTCTCTCTCCACACACTCTCAATCTCCAAGATGATGGTCTGCAAACCAAAGAAAAAGTAAGAATAAAACTTAGAAACAAACTGAAGCAAAAAAAATGAATGACAAAAGAGGATACTTACTCGGAGAGCGATGACAGCGATGCTCCTCGATAAGATGTTGTTTCTCAGTCCTCGAAGAGTCTCATGCTCGGCTTCAGAACAAAAAGGATCGAGGGCAGTAACCACGTCCTAATTATCTTTTAACAAGTCATGATTCACGGGGATCATAATAGTCCTCAACCCTCTTTCTACCCTAACCTCGATCTGAGTAGTCCCACTATCAATCATCGCGAGGTCCTCGGGATCAAGGTCAGAGCTGTAGTCGTCACCATCATGCTCAACTCGCGTATCTTCCTGTTGGCGGGCATCTGGTTTTTCCCTTTGTCAACACGAGAATCTTCTTGAACTGGCCAGAAGATGAGACCTCCTCACACCCGGGGCGAGCAGGAGTATCATCAACTACAGTCTCAACTGCCTTGTCGGGTCGAGGGGAAGCCGCAAAGTAAAGTTCCGCCAAGTTAGACATCTCCCAGCTACCCTTCCATCCCCCTCGGCCGACGTCACTGCAGGGCCATGTTCCACAGCCTTAGGAGAGGTTCCTGATAGATTGACCCCCACTGGTATGCCGTCTCCCTCATCAACGATCTTCCTCTTCCTCGGCCTCAGATTCGTATCGTGCGGATAAACCTCCTCGTCCTCAATACATGGAGGAGCCAAAGGAAGAGCGGGCATGGATGTTGAACTAGGGGCAGAAGTAGAGGGAGCGGCACACCTCCTCTTCCTGAAAGAAGGCGTAGGCGTCATGTTCCTCCTCGCACCCCCTGACAGAACCTAGAGGAAGAGTAAAAAGATAAGCAAGATAAAGCAGGCGAATACAAATAAAACATCAACCAAAAGAATAAATTACCTGTCGAGGGGAGGGCCGGTTTGAACTTCTGCCAGAAGCTCGACCAATCACGGATCCCTACGGTACAGGGAGGACTTATCTGACCCAATCAACGAGGTGTGCAACCAACTGAAGAGGTCGGTCAGTAGCTGCAAAATGAGAAAGATTATTCCACGAACTCGGAATGTACGACTTTTTGAAAAGGTAAAAGCAAGAATATGAATACTTACGAGTGCGGTTCCAGGCCTCAGGAAAATCTGTGACATCCGCCGTGACGGCCTCGGTCTTGACAAAGGAGAAGTTGAGCCAAAATTGTCGACTACCTTTGTCATCCATTTTAACCACCAAACACTTACCTCCACGATGCTGAAGGTTCAACGTCGTGCCTTGATAAAAGCTGGGCGCGAACAAATGTACCAAATGTCGCACCGTGATCTCGACACCAGCCAGTTCGGCAAACTTTGACAACAACTTAAGTAGGGGACGAGCTGAGTTGGGGCAGACCCTATAAAAGCGACAAAACTCCTCCACCAGCGGAAGAAGAGGGAACGAATAGCCGATGGTAAATGGGTAGGCATAGAGAGGTTAGTGCCCAGGACGGTGGGCGTGCACATCATCGTTATTAGCAGGTACTAGTTCCACGTGGTCGGGAAGGCTGTACTTGACCTTGAACTCCGCCAAGCGCTTGGCTGTCATAGAAGATCGGAAAATATCAGCCATCATCTCCGGCGGCCGTTGAAAGTCCGATTTTGCTTCAGGATTGCCGGGAATAATCTCCTCCACTGAAGGAAGAGCCTTCTCTTCAACGGTGGAGATCGTGTCTCCTCCATAAACGAGGACCACAATAGTCAGCGGAGTAGGTTGAACCCCCACATTAACATCAGAAGTAAAGTTCAACATGACTATCGACGAAACGCATCGGGAACAGGCGTCATCATAACGAATGACATCCTGATGTCACATCCTTCCCTTGGCAGGATAGTTCCAGTAATTTACCCTGGAAAATTATGATTTTGATACGAGTGACCCTCGAAGCACCACGTCGCCTGCTTTTCACGAAGACCATGACCAATATTATCCACTCACCAAACTCGTCCGCGAAGACGTCCTTGGTAAGCGGAGGGACTAATTGTATGGGCAAAAAGCTTCACATCACATATTTGACTTGGTCAACGGTGTAAAAGCCTTCGAAGGCAACTGTGCAATGGCATTATAGCATATCGAGAGATTGACGTCATGAGAGGAAGGTGGGTCGTCGACGAGGTCGAGGCGATCCAATAAAGACGAGGACGAGGACGAGGACGAGCACCTCTCTTCGGCGTAACGACTAGTTCTAGGATTTCTATTCCGTAGAGAATATTCCAATGAATATTCCCCCAGTTGTACCACCTAGGGATTTGTGGCCCTTGTACCCTTATAAATAGAAAAATATGTAGTTATAGGGAGGGATTGGACACTTTTTATAGAGAACAAGATATTGACATTCTCTGAAGACTCCCTCTTTATCATATACATACAAAGTTCACCTTTTTACATCTTTATCTATCTTTTCTTCCCCGATCTAAGAAGATCGGAATATTTAAGGGCTTACCATTACCCATTATAGTCAGAAGAATCATTGGGAAATCTCACTCTTATCAAGTGACTTATATGCAACTATTTACTTAAATGTCATTCATTGCTTGTTTCATACTCTTAAATCATTTATTGCTCCGTTATTGCTCCTAAATACACTAGATCTATCATTTGGATATAAATATTGACTTAAATTAACCCTTTTTAGTATAAATCTAACTATATAACAACCTAAATCTAAATTTTGGGTCATACAGTATATAATTTATATTATTCTCATTTTACTCTTAACGACACTTTCTCAAAGAACCGACCAGTTATGTTTAATGTCATAAGATTCAAAGGGTAATTTTGACATGCTATACGCACGTTTAGTTTAAAATCTCAAGACTATTAAGTTTTCTTTGCATTCTTAAACTTTGTACCCAAACACATAAAATGAAATGAAGTGAGTAGTGAATATATATATATATATATATATATATATATATATATATATTGGATCTGTCTACACTCTCAGATAATGAACTCACATGCTTAAGTGTGTTGGATAATGATCCCCTCCTTTGGCACAAAAGACTTGAACATGCCAGTCTAAGTCAACTCAACAAACTAGTCTCCAAGGAGTTGGTAATAGGACTACCTAACATTAAGTTCAAAGAAGATAAAGTTTGTGAGGTTTGTGCAAGGGGGAAGCAGGTAAAATCCTCTTTCAAAAGCAAGAAAATGGTACGTACCACCAGAACGATGGAACCAGTAATATGGATCTTTGTGGACCAATGAGAGCTTTGAGCAGAGTTGGTAAGAGATATGTTATGGTGCTTGTTGATGATTATTCTAGGTTTACTTGGACATTGTTTCTAACATCTAAAGATAAATCATTTGACATGTTTACTTCTTTTGTTAGAAAAACTCAAAAATAACTAGGTAATCAACTTGCATCAATTAGGTCTGATCATGGTACTGAATTTGAAAATGCTAAATTTGCTGAATTTTGTGATGAGCATGGCATAGATCAGAACTTTTCTGCTCCTAAGANGTGAATATATATATATATATATATATATATATATATATATATATATATATATATATATATATATATATATATATATTAACATGTTACTTACTGTTGTTTTAGGTTACCAAATTAGAATAGCTATAAGCAATTACCTAAATTTTGTAGGTCATCTTAGCCTAGCGGTGTGAGCATATTTTTTGAAAAAAATATGAAATGTGACTTATACTCCTAAGTTCTAAAAACTATCAAAATACCCAACAATACCCAAGGAACAAACTTGTTAATCTTGTATATGCAGAACCTTCATCGATGCCATTCATTATCATTATCACAAACCATAGTCCTGAATATAGATAAGTTTGGCACAAAATGATCATTTTTATAATGAACTACATAATGCACTATCCTAAAATCATAACCTGATATTTTAATATCAACTGCTAATAACACAATTACTAGCCATTATACTTCGTCAAATTGCAATAATATTACATGATCCATCAGTCCAAAAGAAAATGATAGTAGTGTTAGCTGATGGATTAGTTGGGTCATAATAGATGGTGAGCACCAACAAGGGTTGTGGTGGAGTGGTAAGTACTCTTCATCCTTAACCAGAGGTCTCGAGTTCGAACCCCTGAGTATGAAGTCGCCTTTGTTAGGGAGCGCTTTACCCCCCAATGTGGGACTTCCTGGCGCGAATCCGGATTTAGTGGGACCCCAATGTGGGTACCGGATACCGGATGGGAAACCAAAAAAAAAAGATGGTGAGCTTTTTTATAAAATATAAAAGTTTAGAGTAATTTTTACAATTGTTAAAAAATCAGACAGTAATATTTTGAGCCAAAAACAAGTCTAAAGCTACTTTTGGGATTTGAAAAATCTGCCAAAATATGGATGAAATCTATTGACAAACATGTTTTGCCAAAAGTTTTTGTTTCTACTACAAATCAGAAGAGATGAGGAATTTTTCTCAAGATAAAACGGAGTAAAGCAGAAATCATTCTGGTTTCTCTTGTAGCGACAAGTGAAAATTAGTTTGTCAAATTTTTAAGCTTACACATCAGTTCTACAGACCTTTTAGTGTTAAATAAATATGTAACTATGTACAAACTTTTAATATTGCTCGAGAATATCTTAAATAGTAATTAATTTGTCTCTGGTCAATTTTCAAGCTTTGACTTCTTCTCCATCATTTTATCATACATACACGAAGATTTCCTCCAAACCCTTACTAATTGTTTACTTTTGACATTCATCAAGGAGAAGCAGGGAGCTTTTACTTTAGCACAAACTGCAACTATTTTGCAGTCCAAAATACAACTGATCTAAAACATTAAGGGGCAGAGCGACCCATCATCAAGAGAACTACTCCCCCCCCCCCCCCAAAACCCCCCCACCCTAAAAAAAAAAAAAAAGAACCCTCCTGAAAAAACAAAAAGACAGAAAAGGAAAGTGCTCTTTGACCCCTTAAGTTTTCTGCAATGGGCTGCCGAAAACATATACTATTAGACAAATTCTATCCTGAGAGCTTAAGGCCATTTCGGGAGGAAAGTATCAAGACTCACTAGGAATAACGTTAAAGAAATGATAGACCTCTTCTTCATCGATGACTCCAACATCCGTCGAACAAACTGAACAGCATACATGTTTAAATGTTTCGCCCATATCAGAAAACGCTTCAGCCTCACCAGATCCACGTCCTTTCTTACCCCTCTTTCGTTTATTTCCAAGCTGTGCCACTTGTTCGCTCTTAATCTTGCAATTGACAACAAACATTGCTCGGTACTGTGTAACATTCTTTTCATGCCTGCATTATCAAGATAACATCAATTCCGAATTGCAGAAATATTACTAAAAACCCACTAGAAAGCTAACAAAAGGAGAAATGAAAGCTTGCATTAGTGACAAAAGGAACCTAGGCGCTTTCTTAATTGAACGGCTGACCAATTACATGCTAATGCTGAGCAATGATTAAAATCGGATGGTAACTCAACAGGAGTCTCCATCTACAAGCTTACTATTCAAAATTTAACTGGGCAATGTCATATAGCTGCATTAGCTTTTCGAAGTATAGTAAGAACATGATACAGAAAGCTGTCTTCTGCAATATGTTTTCAATTACTATTAATATATAGATGAAGAATGGGTCACTTTACTTCTGTTATTGCATTGTTGGTCCCTCTTGTTCAGAACTAAACATGACAGACCCATTTTGCAAATGTCAATGCGAAGATTCAACAAGATCAGTAACACGTCAACTTCAGGTTCATAGAGATTCAGCAACACTACTAGCAAAAGTGGAGTTTCACATTCAAGTTCGAGATTCAAAGAGATCAAATATTTCTGGCTGTTCTGGCAACAGTAAACTTTCAACTTGCCATTCTTTCTTTCCTAAAGCAAAAGGAAACCAGAGAAAATGGAAGAAGAATCAAATAAGTTTATCGTTCAGCTGGTTACTCCGGCTTTGGCCAAGTCATAACAGATTTCATTGCTTCAGGAAATTACTCTTTCCTAAAGCGAAAAAACCCCCAGAGAAAACGGAAGAAGAATCAAATAGGGTTTATAGTTCACCTACCTATCTCCTGTTCACAAGAGGTGCCTTCTTAAATTCTAGTAAAATATTGACATCCACCATGTTGCAGAGAAGACATGATTTTCCCAAGCCTACTAGCATAATAGACAAATCAGACAAACTCCTTAATTATACTGAATACTGTGACGTAAATCCAAGCAAGGAAAATGTGATGGAGCTAGAAAAGCAGAACCTAAAGAGAAAACTCGAAGCAAATATCTAAGACAATGATTTTCTGATGAAGTGTGGGCATTAAACGGGAAAGACAAGTAGAGGTGATACCTCAAACAATACTTGCTTGGTTTGAAGTGCAAAAGTTACAAGACTTCTATATCCTATCTGTTATCTGATGCTTGATCTAGACTTGGCTAAGTTGGCTTATCTCTGTCACTCTCACTAAAATAGGGGTCTTAATCAAGATCAACTTTTTTTCCATCCACGATCTTTTCATTTGCAGTCAAGCAGCAAGCACTAAAAACTCTTACCATCTCTTTGCATGTAGAAAATGTGTATTTCATTCCTTGTTTTTTGGTAAGTTTAAAAAAACATTTGAACAGTAAAAAGAATAATATACTTTATCACTGATGAAAGAGAACTAAGCAATTGGAATTATGTACAGAATTGAATCCCGAACGAAGTACATGGGTATTCTCCTAAAGTTCCGAAGAGAGTTGAGGAACTCAACAAACTGTGTCGTATGTGTCTTTCATGTTAGGTTCAGAAGGCAAACAACTTTAGACTATGCACTGCAACTTCCTCGTTTTTTCGTACTACCCAAAGAAACAGGATTGCCATTTTGTCTGAGTTGACTTACAAAATTTCTGACCAGACTCTTCAGATAAAACAAAACAGTAAACATAGTGACAACTGGAGAGAAGCACAGTTATAGATTAGCTTACAAGAATTACAAGGACACTAGCAACGGAAATTGAAGTAAGAACTCCATGAAAGCAAACAACCTGACTTAGGTCGTCCTTTCTCTCGGGATGGATATTTGTGGGTGGGGCATATTGATGGCGTTTGGCGTTGAAGAGAAGTGTAACTGAGTTGTTCCAGAGCATGCTTTTCTTGCTTTTATTTAGACTAAACTTATTCTCCTTTTCCACTTCCCAGGCATTCAGTTGTGTTCGTCTCTATAAAGCATAATGATTTGTCAGTGCTAACCATATTCTCAGACGTATCCTGCAGTTTAGTGACTTTAGTCTAGAAATTTTATTAATTATTACTTGTTGAAAAAGAAACTTTCCGAGTAATCCTTTAATATTTGCTTTCACCAAATCTGAGATGAACCGGGCTTTTATTTGTTCCAATCATACAAGAACACATCTTTGATAATGCCATTCCCGATCCAAATATTTTTCTTAATAATTATTCCTAATCTAGGTATCATTGATGCAAAAACACCATAATAGTAATATTGATTTCTCTTCTTCACCAACATTTATCTGGTATCATTAGAGGGCTATTCCATGTGTACTGTATATCTGGTTGATCGTTACCCCTTTTGCTCATGCTAAACTCGACCTCTTACATATTTAATGTTCCCTGGTAATCATTGTGAGCAATATCCAAATATCTGAAATGATACTACAGATCAAGGTCCAACAGAGCATACAAAACTTTATGGAGAAAAGATTCTCTCTACAACTCTGCAACATGGAAGCCTACTTTAAGATGTCTCTTCTTCTCATTGCTAGATAAACTTCCCTAAGGGTTGCAAGTACATCCTATAAAAGCACGACCAATATCCTGCATTTTGAGTGAGACGATCTGGTACCAGTACCACTAGACGATGAAGAAATAGAGAATTAAAGGAACTTAGACATTGGAAGCGAATAAAGACAAGTAGATGCAAGAAGATCCAAATATTTTGGCTGACTGTTCCTACAATAAGTTTGACCATTTTTCACCCCCCCCAAAAAAAAAAAAGGAAAAAGAAAATCGGAAACAGCCTCTCTACCTTCAAGGTAGGGGTAAGGTCTGCGTGCACACTACCCTCCCCAAATCCCACTTGTGAGATACACTGAGTTTTTTGTTGTTGTTGTTGTTGTTGTAATGGTCTGGAAAAAAAGACCCAAAACCAGTATATAAATCCGAGAAAGCAAGAAGATCCAAGTATTGGACTTAGAAGGCAGTCCAATTCATTTAATATTGGAATGAAACGGACCTGTATTGAGCAAATGGATATAGATGATTCATATAGCCTAGACAACTCAATTGTGATTGAGGCCTCGTTGATTGAATAATTGGCTGAAGAAGATCCAAATACTCCAGTAGTAAAGTAACAGAATCGTGCAATCAAATATATTCTTTTTAATATTCAAATTATAGGAAAATTCTAAAAAGAAGAAAAGCAATACCTTTGGCAATCTAGACAAAGTGTGGTAAAACAAGCTGGACAATTAAGGATGGCATCGGAAGTACGACCACCCCTTTTCTTCTGCACCCAGAGTTCATCCTTGTCGTCAAGTTCTGAATCATAAAATTCTGGCTTGACGGAGTAGTCTATCTCGTCATCATCAGACACTGACAAAACATCAAAGTAAATACAAATTAGAGAAATAATCCCCTATTACACCACAATAATGCAAGAGCAAGGTTACATCCACGGGCCCTCAGGGATTTGGCTTTTGGGTTTAACAGTCTGTGCATATAAGCAGAGAATTATCATTCTTTTCCTTTATAACCGAGAAATCCCTGAGGGCCTGCAGCACACAGTTCAAAACTTCAAGGATAATTGGCTCGCTGCTCTACCTCTCTCCACTTAAATACCAGGCTTTTGTCCGTGGAAGTTCGAGCTCATGACGTCCCCTAACCCACACATGCTCTTACACTATACAAAAGCAGTGAATTATCATTCTTTACACCCAAAAGGAGAGATGAAAAAGGTAGAAAAAGGGGGATCTCGGGAGTCCATAGCTCTATTGGAAAAATATTCACATTGGAAAATTTAGAGTTGATAGAAGTGCGTGGAGGTCGAGAATTAGGGTAGAGTGCTAGTAGGTAGAAGCACAGTTTCCTTTTCATATCAGTAGTATTAGTACTACGCCCGCTTTCTTTCTTTCTTAGATTTCTAGTATTACATGTTGTTTGCTTTAGTTATCCTATTTTTCTTGTTGTTGTTACTTCCTGTTTTTTCTTGCTGTTGTTGTTGCTTCTATTCCACGACTTCGCCACTATTATATTTCTTTTCAGCCGAGGGTCTATCGAAACCGTCTGTCTACCTTCACAAGGAAGGGGTAAGTTGTTGTTGTTGGTAGGTTAAGTTCAACTACATTAAGAAATGAGTATATCAATCCACCAATCAACTATGCCTCAATTCAAACTAGTTGGGGTGGGCTATCATACAATAATTTTGAGCAATAAACCACCACAACCCTCCTCCTTTATTCGTGTTCAGGACCAGCTATGTGAAGCTCATAATGGCGGAGTTATATTAAGAATTGAGTACTAAAGAAAAGGAATGTTCAATGGATTTGAGTAATCATGAAAACATTGGTATCCATAGGATGAGAGAAGATTGTTTAACTGAGAAAGGAGGAGAAAGAGCTACCGCCTACCTGTTTGCTCGGCGTGAGAAGGCGATTCTTCTCTCTCCTCTCTGTGTTGTTCGTCTTTGTTGTTCATCTCTTTTTTCCGCAGAGAATCGAGATGACCGGAGGAGTTGTGCCGCCGTGCCGGTGACTCGTAAGTAGGTAAGCGATGAGCCTATAGCATAAACGTGAATGGAATAATTTAACTCAAAAAATGGTGTTACGAAAATATTATATTGTGCATGTTTATTTATAACTCATTTATAGAGGAAGATTATCCATTTAGTATTGTGTTGAAGTTTATCTACAAGCAGCTGATCCAAACACGTTGTAATAGATTAATTTAAAGTTGGATAATATATCAATGTGTCTTTCTATAGTTGTCTTTGATTTATTACTTTGCCGTCTTTATTTTATAACACGTTATCAGCACGAGACTCTACCATTTTGAGCACTTATTTCGAATTTAATTTCTATTTCAGTGTTCATCTTTGAAGGCGACGCTCTTATGTCCTTTGTTAGATCTTGTTCATTCCAAGCATCATAAGGCAGATTGTTCTTGAGGTGGTGAGCTTTTCTTCTTGGGGGAAGTGATGTCGATATCACTTACGTCTGGAATGGCCAAATTTGTGTAAAGTAATTTGAGCCTTTTGCATATATTTAGTTTAATATCTTTATCATCGCTTTGCTTGGTTATATGTTAGGTATACAGTACCTATTTTGGGTTTTTTTTTCATCCTAATTATTTTAATAAAGGATTATAAGTGGATAACATTGTTAGATCCACTTAAACTCTAATAGAGTTTGCAAGAAATATATAAGCACCAGAAGTGGTTATGTTTCGTATATCTGATTGTAATTAAATTTTGTTAACCACCAGAAGTGGTATATGACTATGACCACCAGAAGTGATAATTTAGGCTTTCCATGGTTACAATTAAGATAAGTTAGAGAAAATTTCTCTATATTACTTGCATGCCTCGATTTGCTCCTGAAGTAGCATTATCTTAAAAGAGGTTCTAAGCCATCACACAATTTGGTGTGATTAATGCACGTTAAGATAATTATGTTTTGTTCCCTGAAGGATGAGAACTTTTGATAAATATTAATCCGTTCCCTGAGGTGAATGTGACAATATTAATAAGCTCGTAAATATGAACGCACTTTTGATGTAAATATATTAGAATTCACATCCAGAAGAGGTAATATGATTGAAGGAATATATACTCAATATTTCGTATTTTAAATTTGCTCCCAAAGAAGTAACACAATTGAAATTTACTCCTGAAGTAGGAAAATATTACGAAGAGGTGTATTCTTGTGCTTAAACAATTATTTTATATTGTTCATTTGATTATGATTTTCTCTCACGATACCAGAAGTGTCTGAGCAATATGTGATAATACAAAATGTGTCAACAACTCCTGAAGAGCTAACTGTTTGTCTAGAAGACACATGACACCAGTAGTTTCTGATAAATTTTAGATTGTGGATAATAAACGAAGGCTCTCGAGAGCTTATATACAAATATGTCATTCATATTATATGATTATGGTCAAAATATGTGTTATAGTAAACCCGAAGTTTACTAATACAACTGCCTATCATATTGAGATTACACATGATTGGAATATCAAAAATCTTCATGTTTCCACAATCATAGGGGGTAAAATAATATGTATGTGAGAAGTTACCCACCTTATTCTTCAATTTGTACTACATCATGTATCACAGTAAATCAGAAGTTTACTAATGCAAAAGTTTATGCCATAGTAAACCAGAAGTTTGCTAAGAGATAGCACATGCCATGATAAACTTGAAGTTTTCATTTGCCATTTTTAAATGGGCTATTTGAGAATTCAGATAAGCATATATTGAAGAACTAGAACATATTTCAAGAATTCTCTTGTGTTGCTTGTTCTCATAATAAGTTGATTATACCAGCTAAAGTTGGTACTAAGACCCTTGAATTTTGAAATATATAAAAGTTGAATATGGGCACATTCACCTATCATGTGAACCATTTGTAGATGCATATATGAGATGGTTACATGTGTATTTATTGTCAACCTGCAGTTTGGCATTTGAAATTGCTTTTCTCAATTAAGAGCATAATTTTCAGATTATGAAATCAAGATAGTTCATCTTGAAGATACTGGTTTATATCCAAGCTAGTTTAGTATTGAATACCTCCTATTAATGGCTAAACTATTGCTTATAAGAATAAAGCTTCATGTGTTGGTTTAAGATTTTCTAAATTGCATACAACAGTACTTGTATGCATGAGACCAACAATTTAATAAGTCCTCCCCTCACAATTGGTTTAGGATCAAAACCCAAATATTTTTACTATCTAATAACTTTTGATGCGTGGTATATGATTAATTTTTCTACCACAACGCACAAAGATAGGTTCCCAAAGAAGATTTGGGATATATGTTAGTTTTTCTAGCATTAGGGGGATGGAATAAGCAGTTGAAAATATGTTATATGAATCGGATTATCATTAGTATGATCCTCACTCAGAAGATAATTCAAGTCAAATGCCAGAAGCATTTGCTGATCCAAAATTAAATATCATATTTCAGCTGCAAATGCTCCTATTAAAATTATAGTCCTTGAAGGATGGAGTTTACTGTACGCATGAAGCGTGGTAGACCAATCGGTTCCAAGGTAACAATTCTTGAAAAGGATAGGATCAAAATGATCATAATAAGGAGGAAATAAGCTCTAGAAGAGCACACGACATAACATTTCATGAAACTCCTGAAGAAGTTCAGGTACCTGAAAATAAAGAAAGTGATGAGATCTCAACAAGTTATGTTGCTTGCGAACCGATATAAAATGATCGTGGACGATATATTTGATACAATATAGTGCATAATATTGTAAAAGATTATGAGGATCAGACCAGCAGTCCAGACACTTGAAGATGTCATGCCATTTAGATACAAGTCATAACCTACATGACTCATTTGATTAAATCTATATGAAGATCCCCGAAGGATTTAATATGCCTGAAGCATATAGTTCAAAGTCTCGAGGAATGTAATCGATCAGATTACAAAGATCTTTGTACGGTTTAAAGCAGTCTGGGCGCATGTGGTATAGTAGCCTTAGTGAATATTTGCTGAAAGAGGGTTACATAAATGATGTTATTTTTCCATGTATTTTTATAAAGAAAATGACATCAGAATTTGTTATACTTGCTGTTTATGTCGATGACATAAATCTTGTTGGAACTCCAGAAGAGCTTGAAAAGGCAATTGAATATCTTAAGAAAGTGTCACGACCCCAAACCGGCCCGGTCGTGATGGCGCCTCTCGTGAAGACAAGGCCAGCCGACACAACACTCACATTAACCTTTTAATCATTAAGAGTCATTTGTTTAAGCCTTTAATTAAGTAATATTTCATAATATAAGTCTAAAAGAACAGTGCGAAATTAATATACAAGCCCGACATCGGGGTGTCACTAGTTATGAGCATCTATCAAGATCTGAGTACAACAAGAATCTAAAAATGTACTAAATACAATAATAGAAGTGAGAGGAAGGAAATGGTGCTGCGAACGTCGTGCAACCACCTTGCTAACTCTGATGACTCCGCATCTGAGCAATCAACACCCGTTACCGGGTTCCGAAATACCTGAATCTGCACACGAGGTGCATGGAGTAATGTGAGTACTCCAACCTAGTAAGTAATAAGAGTAAATAAAGACTGAACGGTAGGAAACAATGAATCCACATTTATGATAAACTCAATAAGCACAATAGGCCTTCAATTCAGAATACGAGTCAATCGTCTCATTTAAAATCCAGTTTTTTGGTAAAAATCATTTAAAATACCTTCCAGCAATTTCAGTAGGGGTTCAATACCATTTGTAATAAAAGAGATGAAGACCATAATCGGCTCCTCGGGCAAAACATATTCCGTAAAACAGCCCCTCGGGCAAAATAGTAATCATAAACACTTCATAACTTGAAAATCTCAGCGGAAAATAACCAATGCCAAATCAGCGATTAAATTCTGAACATCTCATAAACCCCAGTTTGAATAAAAATAGTTTTAAAACATTTATCTAACATTTTCGACAGAGGCTCAGTATAAAGATGAGTGAAAATAATCATTAAATCAACATGTTCAATAGAAACTCACTCTAAAAAGAAGTGAAAATCAATAAGTTCATAATCAGGCTCCTTAGGCAAGCATCACTCATATGCATGTATATATCTATCGCCCCTCAGGCTAGCCTCTCAGTCACTCGTTGTTGATACCCAATTTTCCCTATGTATTTTATATACTCAAGATGTTTTCAAAATAGCATGTGTATACATATATAAGCATGCCCAAGAGTTTTGGTATTTTTTTCCTAATTTTTTTAAAGATTTTTAAAATCAATTATTGTCTATTTTGGCAGTACAAAATCCAATAATTATTTCCAAAATTATCACTTTGGTGAATAATTTATTTCTATTCTCGTATTTACACCAAAATATAATTAAGTTGATTTTTGCATATTTTTATAAATTTATCTGGTATTTTTAAAGCTAAATTGCATATAATTGCAATTATAGCCTATTTACGATTAACAGCATTTTACAATTATAAAATCATTTCCAGTAGTTTAGATCAACATTTATATATTATTAATTAGTTCAGCTTTTAATTTGTTTTTAAAATCATTTTAACTATTTTTATAAAATAAAAGGGAAAAAATTGGCTATTTAACACATAGCCATTTCTATTTCAATTACAGCCTCAATTTAACCCCCGATTCCACCCTAATTAAACGACCCAACTTCAAATTTTAACCCAAACCCCACGACCCATTTTCAGACCCGCCTAGCTTCTCTTTTAATCCTAGCCGTTGATCATTTTGATCAACGGCCATGATCCGTTCTTTCCTTTTTAATTCCCATACCCCCCTTAACCCTAATTCACTCTATCAGATGTGCCGCCTTTGAGCTCTCTTCACCTCCCAAATTCTCTCAAGGCTCCCCGGAACCCTAGCCTCCCTTACCTTGTTCCACCATATTTTCACCGCCGTCCATGGCTTCTCAGGCCATGGACAGCCTATACCCACCTCTTATGGCTCCTACATGCCTGTTGTTCGAAGGATCGAGGCCAGACCTCGAGGGTCTTCACCCAGGCCTTCACTGATTCGAAGATTCCGGCCATCTCCGGCCTTGCTCCGGTGGCTCTTGGTCTTTTGAGCTTGTTTATGACATTATC